CCCCGCTCACCCTCCAAGTGGATGATCTCTCCGTGGCCGTACACGCCCGCGTGGGCCCCGCACCAGCGCCCCGTGGGGGACATGAGCCTGAACAGGAAGAGGTCTCCCGGCTCGGGCTCGCCGCCCTTCAACTCCAGGTCTGGAAGTGCTGGCTCAGGAACGCCTCCGAGAGGAAGAACTGAAGGGTGCTGACCGCCCCGGCCAGGGCCTGGGGGGACGGGATCGGACGTCTGCAGAGGCCGAGGTGGGGGGGCCGCCTCCCTCCACCACCCGGGGCTCAGGGGGACCTGCCTCGGGGCCAGGCCGGAGGGGAACGTCTTCGCCACCCCACACCGGCCTCCCTGAGCCGAGGGCCTGGAGGCCTGGACATCCCCGGTAAGTCCCAGCCCTGAGCCACCCCTGGGAACCCCTCAGTCTGCAGCAACCGGGGGCCTTCTCGTCTCAAATTCCTGCTACTCCTTTGCCGTCCCCTCCCCTCCCCTGGGTGCCCTTCCCCAACCATCTCCCATCTTGCGGCTCCCTGGAGGTGACACCGCAGACGGTGTGCCGGCTGGTACCTGGCTGGAGCAGGCGTCCTGAAGAAAGAGAAGCCGCAGTGAGAGGGGCGGGGGGCCGGCAGCCTCCCCGCGGACCCCTCCGGCAGTGTCCGCAGCAGACACCGGCCCAGCAGCTGCTCCTTTGACCCTTAACGTAACCTAATCCACCTGATGGGTACGTACGGGATATGCCCCGTTTTCCAGAGAAGGAGACTGAGGCTCAGAGGTTGCTGGAGGGCACCCAGCGTGACTCCAGGCCCTTTCCACTAAACTTCAGCCACCTCTCTTACCTCTCGGCAAAGAGGCGAGAGTGCACCTGGTTGGCGTTTCTATCTTTACTGGGAAGAGACGGCTTCTGGGACTTGGGAGGAAAGGGCCGTGCGGGGGGAGCTTTGCTCTCAGCCTGGGAGACGGTGAAAGGAGGGCCTGCTGGGCATGAGCTCTGGCAGAGGAGCTGAGAAGGAAGCGACCCTCCACCCCTAGGTCTCTGGGGGTCTTTGTTGGAAGGAAGTGGGTTGACTCCAGCTGATGTGAATTTGGTGGGAAGGATCCATATAGAAATGAGGAGGGCCGCCCGGCCGGCGTGGCTCAGCAGTTGAGCATCGACCTAGGGTCCAGGAGGTCGCGGTTCGATTCCCGGTCAGGGCACAGGCCTGGGGTGCAGGCATCTCGATCCCCAGCAGGGGGCGAGCGGGAGGCAGCCGATCAATGACTCTCATCTTTGACCTTTCTCTCTCTCTCTCTCTCTCCCCCTCCCTCCCCCTTCCTCCCTCTGAAATCAATAAAAACATTTAAAAAGAAAGAAAGAAATGAGGAAGGCTGCCCAGGCCCACGTTGCCGAGCGCCTCCCGTCCCTGACCCTCTCTTTCCCTCTGCGCCCCAGTCCCTAGTCTCCTCCACTCAGGACCAGGTGAGTCTCCTTTTCCCAGACTGAGAGCTGCGGAAGATCCAGCTGACCAACTCCTCCCAGTTTGCCCGGGGCTTTCCAGGTATTAAAATAGAAAAAGTCCCCCAAAACTGGGAGCCCAGGAAAGCCTGGGAGGCAGGTCATCCCAGGCTCGGGCTTCCCCGCTGCCTTGACCTCGGGAGACCAGAGGGAGGGCCCCGTCTGTGCAGCCCCTTGGCCATACTCTTCTACCTCCCACCAGGTAGCCGGGCACCTCGGTTCCTGCTTCCCCATTCCACACACTCAGCCCCTCCCCCCCGTACCCACTGGACCAAACAGCTTCAGAGCTGGGGCAGAGGGTGAATTGTCCTGGCACCTGTGGGGGCAGCAGGCGCCCTACCTGGGGAGGAGATAAGACAAGCTGAGGACTCCTGCTCCAGTTTCCCGGAATGAGAAGCTCATCTAGGGAGGCAGAAAGCCAGGCAGGTGGCAAGGAGGCACCTTCTCAGCTCAGAGGACAATGGGCCTCAGAGGCGGCCGCCTCCCTGTGACCCCTGCCCCAGGGCTCGCAGGAAACCACCCAGCTGGAAAGGCCCTGGCTCTCCCTCTCCAAGTTCCCCAGGGCGGTGGGGGTGGTGAGGCGCTCTGGCCACCACCAGCTGGGCCCCTGGACTTTGAGTCAGGGTCTGGGTGAGAAGATGCCCACTCAGACAGGGGGACCTGGGTCCACATGTGGCGCTCCGTCCATAATGATATTTGCTGCCAAACTGTGCTACAACCCCATTCAACTCTAACGACTGTCATGAGAGAGACGGCTACTGTACTTCCCATTTTAAAGATGGGGAAAGTGAGGCCAGGAGGTTGCCAAGGTTACAAGCTAGTACGTGGAGGGACCAGGATTCGAGTCCAGGCAGTCTGGCTCCGGTGCCCGTGACCCTAACCACAGTACAGTGCTGCCTCTTCCCGCGGCCAGCCAACGAGCGCTCCCCTTCCCCAGACCCCAAAGCCGGGAGGTACTGACCCCGGTACCCTTCCTGACCTTGGGAAACCCTTCCCCTTGACTTTCAACGAGCCAAGACAGGGAAAGGAGCAAGGCCCTGGATCTGTGAGCAAGAGCCCAGGGACAGACATGGAAACCTCTGGGCACCCAGCCTGACAATGCTGCTCACCCTGTCAGGGCTTCTTGCTGGAGGCCCCAGCTCTCTCCTCTCACCCTGATGCTTTCAGAACAGAATGGGGAGAGTGGCCCTGAGACTGGGTGTTGGGGTAACAGGCAGTCTCTCTGGGGCCCAGGGCCCTGCCCTTCCCCCAGAGGCCCCTGCAGGACCTCAGCCCAGTGGGGCCCGGTCGCGGAGCACAGGCCTTGTGGGGCTACTGTGGCAGCCCTCGGTTTTGCGGCTGCAATCGGACCTGAATCTCCAGCCTTTCCTGCCCCCTTTCAGTCTCGTCCTGGACAAATGGTTCCTCCGTGAGAGGCAAGGTTTTGGGGTCAGTGCTCCCTGCCAGCCACCTTCGGCTAGAACAAGGGCCAGGGGGCTCCCGGCTTGGGGCAGAGCAGGCCGTTCCCTTACAAAGCCTCTGGTCACCCGGTGTCTTGGCGCAGTAATCCCACCTGAAGCCCAGCCCTAGCCCAAGCAGCTCACCTTGCAGTAGCCACGCTCCACACCTTGCTAGGTGCTCTCCTTCTGTGGCCAGAGCAGGGAGGACAAGTGGCCAGGCCCTCAGGCAGGTAAAGGAGCCAAGCAGGAAGCCCTGGAGCCTTGTTCTGAACATCAAGGGCTAGGCCAGTCTGATGGCAGCACTGACTTCCTGCTCCTGGCAGCTTTGGGGGCAGATGGCAGCCAGATGCTGTGAGGCTAGGGTTTGGGGTGGGTAACTGGTAACCTCGCCCGGCTTCTCTCCCCTCCTCCTGGCATTCAGCCCCTTCCCCATACCTGCCTGTGCCAGCTCCCTGAAGGGGTCTTCCTCCCACACTGGCCTCCCCAGGGCACCTAAATGCCCCATTCACCACACAACACTGTATCATGTAATAGAGTTCTCCGTATAATAGAGTTCTCATCGTACAACTGAGTTCTCTATTCAGCTTTAAAAGATCAAGTAATTATAAATTTATTTCAGACTATAGAAAAATATAAATTACTCCCTAATTTAAGGGATCTAGGATAATTTTAAATACCAACATCTGATTAACACAGGACCCAAAAAACTATGTGCCTATCTCACTCACAAAAGATACAAACATTCTAAATGAAATACCAATCAATGGCACCCAAGAGGGGATCGAAAGAATAAATAACACTTTGACCAAATAGTTATTTGGGGATGCTATCGGTATTTTAATGGGCACCACATCAAAACTTTTTTTAAAACTAATCAGTGATAGAGTGCTATCTTTAGAACACTGGATTCTCCCACTGGGGAACACAAACCTACATTTACTTGGGTTTTTAAAGCCTTTCAATGACATTTCGTATTTCCCGTAAACGTATTGTACATCTTTTGTTCGGCACATTCATTCGTCTCTGCATTTTGCACCCAGTTGACGGAAGTAGGTGCTGAATTTTTCCCCAGAAAAACGCTTTCTCCATTGAGATGACCACCTAGTTTAAAACGCTCTAAACTGCCAGCACCCTGATTTGCAGCAACAGGTTTCCTAAGGTTAAAATCATTGCTGGGCCCAGCCTGGTGTGGCTCAGGGGTTGAGCATCCCCTGAGGATCCAGATCAGGGTTTGATTCCTGATTAGGGCACAGGCCCGGGTTGCGGGCTGCAGCCGATCAGTGACTCTCTCATCATTGATGTTTCTACCTCTCTCTGAAATCAATAAAGCTATATTTAAAAATAAAAAATCACTGCTGGGATCAAGGCTTCCTTGACCCCTGGAGGTCACGGTTCGGTTCCCCGCCAGCGCGCAGGGCGCCCAGCAGGGGGCGCGCGGGAGGCGGCCCATCCGGGGCTCCTCGTTGACGCCTCTCCCTTCCTCTCTCTGAAATCAATAAAAACATATTAAAAACATTAAAAAAAAAAATCCCTGCGATTTCTAACGTGTCTGCCTTGGCCCACGAGGGAGCGCCGGCAGCAGGGAGCCTGGAAGGCGCCGCTGGGCCGACGCTCAGCAGGCGGGGGCCCCTCTTGGAGAGAAACGGGGCGACGCGACCCAACGGGCAGGAACTAAGCGCGGCGACACGGGCGGCTGAGGGCGGGGAGGTCGCCCCGCGAGAGGCCGGGGCCTTCCCGAGGCGGCGGAGCCTCCACGGCGCGCTGTTGGCCCC